TAACAAAACCCGTGATTTTCCGGAACTAAAAAACCGGATTTTTTCCTGATCTTTGTCTTTTATTTTTTTTTACAGGGCGTGTATTAATCGTCATCGTTCACCATTAGGCATAATAATAGCATGCTGAACTAGGTGCTTTTAAAGTAAGAAGCAGCTTCTAAGAAAGACAGGACAGCTGCAGATCCAACGAGCAGTATCAGTGAAATATAAACTTTCTGAATGAGTCATTTTTTTATCTGTGCTTTTCTTTCTTTTGTTCTTGGTGTGCTCATCAGCATTGATTGCATCTTGGTCTTTTCTTGCATTTGTGATCCACATTTTTTTGAAATCATTCCATCATCACAGTGCCACAATGCCAGTCAGAATCTGTAAAAGTCTTTCTTTTTGCGCTGGTATCACCTCATTGAAGAGTGTCCAAAGCAACAAATCAAGTCTAGGATGATTAAAATGGTGTAGATAGCATCATTTGATAACGCTCCAGTGGGCTTCAATCTTCATCATTGTTTTACCAAAAGGTATAGTAGATCTTACTGATCGTGCCCATAGATGCCATCACTCTGGTGAATACCAGTTGGTCCAGAGGTATGCTTATAGTATTCGCAATGAATTTTCAACGCATAATTGATACATCTCCTTTACAGCATTTCTTCTAATATCTGTTGGTGTTAATGTGTTTACCTGAGCATTGATAGGTATTAAGAGATCATATCGAAGTGTTTTTGCATAAGCTTCAAAATTATTTCTCGATATGCTGATGGGCAGATGATATATGTTCTCGGATCACGATCTTTGTCTGTTGGATAAAATGTGTGGTCGACAAAGTCAAACTCGTCAGTTGCTTGATTAACATTGTAAGTTATACGTAGTTGTGCTTCATGCCCTGCTTTATCTGATAGCTTGGCTTTTTCCCTGAGTTTAAGTTTTAGGACCCAATTCATATGCCAAGCGCATAGTTGGACTATTGAAGGTCTCTACACCTTAGTCGTGGCATTAATTTTGGCAAAATCTTTGTCTGTAAACACAAAATTCGGATTGACATCATGTACCTTTATGGTTTTTAAGAAGCTCTCCAGAACTTTATGACATCTGCCCGTATTGGTACTCGTATTCATTGCTTGACTTGTATCAAGTATTAAGTAGGCAATTGGAAAGCTGGTACCTTTAACATCTGCGATGATGTCATAAAGTTCATAACGTCCTCTTGCAGTTTTATAAGTCACGTCAAGATAAATCTCGCAGATGTTAATATTATGATTTTTAATTTCTTCTAACAGTAGGGTGATGAAACTGATGGCAATGGTTTCTGAATCTTTAATATTTAAGCACCATCGGAAGCCATGAGTTTCATGCTCACTAAGCAGTTGGCACGCGGATTCAATATGATTATCATAATATTTAAATAGCTTCTGGCTCGTAACTGACTTCCAAAAGTAAAGACGCTTGGGTGAATACTTCGAGATATCAAATCCTTTACGCTGTAGGTGATTTTTCAATTCTATTGCAGTAAGATGCAAGTACATTTTGATCTCTTTCCGTAATTTGTTTGGCATTTCAATGCAGAGGTTTGGATGTGGATGAAGATGTTCATGGTAAATATCTACTTTTGCAGCATTAAGAACCAAATCGACTCGCACTATAACTTTTTCTTTGCAATTATAGCATTGTTACGGTGCGTCACTAAGGTGAGTTACTTTGTATTTATCAATTATATTAGTGGGATTTAACCACTCTTCGGAATCAAACCGGATAATCTCTTTTAATTAATTAAATAATAGTGAAATCCACTACTCATCAGGTTCTAACCGGAAACAGTCACAAGATCACATAGTATATCTGACACAAGGTAACTGCCAGCACACAGCTGTCTCTCAAGTTGACTTTTATTCTTTAGTATTAAATAGTTATGTTTCTTTTGATTGTGTATTAATATTTCAAGATTAAGTAATTTTTATATGTATCTTTAAAGTTAATGTTTTATTCAATAAAATCAATATTTTAACAAACACTTGATAATCAAGAGTGGATTATTATTCTAGCTAGAGTTAAATGATCAATTGATGCCTTTTGGTCTTTTCAAAAGGTCCTTTATTTATATAAAATTATTTCATTACAAAGATATTATAATATAAGATAATTATGATATGTCTAATTTCATAGTGTTGGTGAATAAGTCAGATATGTTGAATATCTCGGATATATATTATTTGACATGGTTAATTTTAAGAAATTAAGGAATTAAGATAATTCCAGTCGTAACATTTTCCTCCTCTTAAAAATTTGAGTATCACCTCAATCATAATCAGTTTTGGACCAATTGTTTTAACTGGTGTAATTGTACTTCCTCTAACTTGCACAATTCTTGATAGAAAGTTGCTTTAACTGACAGCAATTTTTCTGGAGAGTTGGGAAAAGTTTCTGTGAGCCAGATCACCAGTTGGAGTCATTTTCTTACTGATGTGAAGTGTGGTCTTTCCTTTTTACCTTTCATCAATTGGAGGTAGCTCGTGGAGTCATCATTGTTGAGTTTTGTTAATTCTTTCTCTGTATATAACAAAATGTATAATTTCTCTCCTGCACAGCCTTTGGATCTAAAACAGTCACCTAATTGTTATCAGGCTTCTTTTATTTTCCGTTTAAATGTAATTTCATTTCTTTTTATATCAATTTTTCTGTTTATTGTTTCCAAGAATTTCATAATTGTTGATTGATTTCTAAGATCTTGGAATTGATTATTTCACGATCCAGATTGTCTGATGGGTTTTCTGGTGTTATTATTCCATCCAATGCGTCATTTTCCTCAAAGGTCATGTTGGTTTGTTGTTCTGTTGTTAAGAATTCTTCTATAGTTGGAATGTTGAATTGTGGACCTGCGTTTCTGACTGTTATTGTCAGATCTAGGCAATTTTCTTTTAATTTATTTGAGATTTGGGTGGCTAATTGCCATATTTTGTTTATTTCATTGATCCCATTATTGGGTACTATTGTTTCGTTGATTTGGTTATTAGTCGTCATTGTTGGATTTTACCATTATCATCATTTCTTTTATATTAAATTTTGAATTTTTGTTGACGTCAGATCTGAAAAATCATATGATTTCTATTTTCCGATTGGTTCGATTATTATCATTGTGTGTTTATTAATTTTCTTTGATATTATGTGTCTATCATTATTTATTATCATTTTAAAATTTTTCTTTTTGTTATTATTTTATATTTTTTTTTATATTCGTTCAAGTTTTTATTCGTTTTGGGAATTATTACGAATGGGATCATTTTTGCGGTTTCTTCCCCTTCTTCATTTGAGGATTCGTCCTCGAATTCTTCATTTTCGTATTTTCATTCGTAGTAATGTTTTAGTCAGTTTTCGTGTACAAATTTGGCGTGTATTCCGTTCTGGTCAGCGAGTTTGTATGCTCCATTGTTGAGTTTTTCGTGTATCCAGTATGGTCCATCCCATTTAGGGTCTAATTTATCAGACTATTGTTTATTGCTTTTGCTTCGATATACGAATACTTTTTCATCAATATTATATTTCTTTTCGGGTAAGTTTAAATCGTGGCGTTCTTTTTGTTTTTCTTGAGATTTTTCGATGTTTATTTTAGTTTCTAGTCATTTTTCGTTTAATTGATAGATAGTATCAAATATTTGTTGATTTATTGCTTCTGAATAACTGTCATTTGTTTGTTCAATATCAGTTGGTAATTGTAAATCGATTGGTAATGTGGCTTTCTGTCCGTAAAGTAGTTCGAAAGGGATGAATTTGGTGGTATCGTGTTTTGCGGTTCGGTAAGTAAATAGTGTTGCGGAAATGTGATCATCCCAGTGTGTCTTTGTTTGGATCGATAATTTTGATAATAATTCACAAAGCGTTCGATTAAATCGTTCAACAAGTCCGTTCGTTTGAGAGTGATAAGGTGAGGATAGTGTTCTTTTAATATTCATTCATTCACAAAGGGTTTTAATCTTCTCGTTAACGAAGTGTGTTCCTTGGTCTGTTAATATTTCTTTAGAACAGCCGTATCGAGAGATAATTTCTTCTTTGATGAATTTCTCAACATTTGTTGCGTCGGCCCTTTGAATGGCTTTAGCTTCTGGCCATTTGGTTAGATATTCAACAGCTACTATGATGTATTGGTTTCTTCTTGCCGTTACGGGGAGCAGTCCAACAATATCGATTCCTATTCAGTCGAATGGTTTGATAATCCTAATTGGGTTTAACAGTTCTGTCTTTTTCGATCATCCACGTTGTTGGCAAATTTCGCAGATGCAGATATATTCTTTTGTGTCGTTTGTTATTGTTGGCCAATAATATCTTTCTTTGATTTTATTAATCGTTATGTTTTGTCCGAGGTGTGCGGCGGTTTCGTTTGTATGAAGATGTTGAAGGATAATGTCCTTTTCATCTTTTAATATGATTCATTTTGGTCTTTCTTCCTTTTGTCGATGGTACAGTCTTTCTTCCAGTATGAGGTAATTATTTTTATATTTTTGTATATATTTTTGTTGTTCGGACAATAATTTCACCATTGTTGATTTGTCTTTTTTATAATTCATCCAAATATTATATATTGTTACCATTCTACCTTTCATCAGTTATATCACGTTATATTTTAGCGCAGTAATGTTCATTTAAACTTTTTCT